TGGATTTCGTGGTTGTTTGATTTCTTATCCTGATATTTCTGGATGGACAAAGGGGAAATTTACAGAGAGAATGATAGATCAACAAACTGAATCCATCTGTCATCCCTTGACACAAAATGTAGAATCCTCACATGCGTCAATTTGTAAATTAATCTCTTTGTCTTTGTCTCCTCACACCAGGAACTGTACAAGACTCCATGTCCACTACTGTCAGTGGCTAGTGTAAGTGGGGTCAGGTGCTCGGGGTCAACTGAGAAGAGGTCAAAGGTCATAGAGCAGCGGGTCTTGTTAAAATACCTTTTAGCCTCCTTCAGGGATATTATGTAATGGCTCTGGGAATAGGTTGGGTTCTAGCTTGACTGTTTTGTGGTGGAGACTGGGTGATATATGTGTTCTGCTTTATGCCAGATGTATATTCATTACCCTTTTTAAAAAATCAGGACGCAGAGGAAGTGCTGGGAGGTGAAGAGGGGTCACACGTAAGAGGTCACATTTATGTGTTTTTCTGATGTACCTTTGTTTTGGAGGATGCACCCTCCAGGAAATGATCATCTTATAAAACAGCTCTGAGGGTTCTCAAGTTGTGCACTTACACAAAAGGATATTCTTTGCGTTACAAATTAAAATCTTTTAAAGCTCTTCTTAAAATATGTGGTTTTTCCTCTTAGACTGTAGCACAGGCTCACCTGAAGAGGTTAGGGAAAAACTGGGTTGTGTTGATCAATATATTGGAGACATTTGAATATCAATACAATGAGTGCCCTGTCTTCAATCTTAATTTTTAATATGGTGATAATAAGTGTATTAATTTTCATAACTTTCATTCAATAACCTTGGAATATGAGCGATGGTGGCCCATTTTTGCACAGTGAATATGCATCTCCCTGCTCTGTGTTGCCATTGATCACTCCTGAGCTGTTTCTCTCCCTCTCGCTTTGTCCTCCGGTCTCTCCCTCTTCCCTTCCTCTCACACCATTGCACTGTAAAATTCATCCTTATTCCCCGCTTCAGCAAGCTAACTGTGCGCACTACCTTTTATCAGTCCAGAACTGTTAAATTAATAAATTGATATTGACGAGCTATCAGCCGGGGGGATAAATTATTTGGGAGCAGAAGGCTCAGGTCACATGACTTTTAGTACCCACGACTCTGTAATTATTCCCCACGAGAAGAACCACAGTGCGGTGCATTGCCCTTCCCCCCCGTAGAAATGAACAAACACGCACACACACGCTATCACATGAAGAACTATAAATATCCTCACATACAGTGGATTGCAGGGGCCATGGGAATACTGATGATCATTACTGCTATCATAACCTTCATGATACAGGATGTTAGCCTGCTGCAGATTGTATTTTATCATCACAATTTACACAAAACTCAAGTGGAGAAACCTAGAATGTGTAGCAGCATTAAATGCATGGGCTACCTGCTACAGTGCAGCAGGATCAACGTCCTGCAGCTGATCGTCTTTGCTCTGTAACAAATGCAAATGAGAGGTGCAAACTGGGAGGGAGGTGAACGCTGCAGATGAAGGGGGACAGCGAGCATGTCAGAGTGCCAATCATGGAAGTGCTCTTGTTGCCCTCCGGCCATCGCTGACCTTTTGACCCTGGCCATGGCCTAAATGTCAGAGGTCATCAACCAGGGTCAGTGGGGATCACTGCAAGACCCTGGTCAGGGATGCATCACCATGGCAACACTGCTCACTATAGGAGGAGAGATGGGGGTGTTTTGCATTCTGTATGCAGAAATCATGCACACAGAAACACACACCTACACACACACACACACACACACACACACCAGGTTGAGCATCACATCTGTGTGTTTTTTCACTGGGAGGCAAGCTGCCCCCAATTGTTTTCCAGTGCACAGCTAGGCAAAATCCAAAGAAGCCTGGCATAAACACCAAGCAAACACACTGCTTTGCCACATCCATATTAATTATTTGTCCTGCTACAGAGGCCATATTTTATCTGCTAAAATGGATGCACAATTCTGCCATTATGCTCCATTATAGAGGTCAAAACGTCGCTGGGAACGGAAGGATGTGGTGAGCAGAAATATATTCTTGGAAATTCTATATATTCATGAGTAATAACAGTGCGGGAAATGCAAATTACCATTAAAAATTTAAATATGTAAAGTATAAAATATAAATGGTAAATTAGTCCGCCACTATATGCAAATAATCTTTGATGTTAATTGTAAATGACCAGGGGGCTAAATAAAAAATAAAAATAAAAAAAAACTTTGCCACATCAACTTACATGAAATGGTTCTTCCTTACTCCCTGCTGAAATATTCGTTTGCTCCTTGCGTCATCTAGTGGTCAGAGCAGATCTCTTCGCCGGTGCTGCTGCTTGTCTCCTCAGCGCGGTGAAAGAGGGGGAAAAACCCCACTAGTCTGCTTTTGTCTCCGGGGAGCTTCGGTCGATGCCTCGTCCCACCATATGTCTGATCGCAGCTGCCAATCAACAGGTCAGCGCGACCCCGGGGAGGCAGACACTGGTGGGGAGAGATCAAACAGTGGACCTCGGGGATGACAGATGCAGATGAAAAAAAAGGCAATAAAACATTGCTTCAAAGATGGCAACGGTGCACTGGGAGGCAAATTATTGTTAACAGTAATCTGCAGAATAGAGCCTCGCATTCTGATCGATTGACTATTATGGAGCCTTTGAAGCCGAGGTAACGCCAGGCTATTGTTCATGGTGGGACACAACCAGAAAATAGCAGCTGGTTTTGGTTCAACTATAGCGCTTCCTAAGCCTCAAATACTACTTACTTCTATGCAATCATGCTTTCTAATAGACTTGCAATTTGGGCTTCTCTGCTCTTTAAGCCTATTGAGAGTTATTCATACGTTCAGCTGCAGTTGCACCACGACGAAACATATGAGAGAAAAGCAAATAATTAACTGAATAAAGTCGAATAAATAGTAAATATGCACTGCCAACATTTCCCAAAGTTGTCTATTAATTACTTTTAATTTTACTTTTACTGTTAATTACCATTTACTTCCAGTATGATTTTTTAAAATAAGTAATCAAGTGTTTTTGCGAGCTGCACGTGCTTTCATGTTGTAGGCTACCTTTCTTAAACTCCTGGGTCTACATTACAGTAAAATTATTTCAACAGTGGTGTGTGTCACTCTTTTTACACAAAAGCAAAAAATCTCAGTCAAACTGAATTAAAATGAACAAATGGCAGAGAAACAAATTAGGTAAAACTAGATCAATCAAATCACGATTTGTACTGAAAACTTGAACTGGTTATATCACCTTTATGAGTTGTAAAAGAAAAAGTTGAATAGCAGCAAGTGCAGTAATATTCAATGAGGCTTTATTATAACAAGATATTTAGAGGTCTGCAGCCCATGTGTTTATGGAAGTCCAGTCTCAGTATCCAAAAACCAAAGCAATTCATTAAAAAGATGTGGTTTGTAAAGGGGCGTAGGTTTGGTCTCAACATTGGTAGGGATGCAACAACACCGCCACCCCTCAAAAACGAAGAGATTGACTTTTAAAGGCTGTCAATCAAACAGTTTATTAACATATAAGATCTTAATTTACATTCGGAAATGCCCATACACAAATGTTATATATGTACATGTGTTGAATTTCCAGATATGAAATATATGTACATGTGAAGTACAATCATATTTTTATTTTTTTTATTTTAAAATACTTTAGTGTAGCCTAAACATATATATGTAAAAATTACATAGGAAACCTATTAGAAATTGGAACAATAGCATATATTGACATATATGTCTAGCTAATAGAAACATGTATTTTAGTATCTGTTTAAATTATAGACATATGTTACATAAATATATATCCATCTAAATATACTGTACATCCATCCTGAAGCCTTTCCGTATATGTTCATATTATATATGTAAATATAAAAGATAGACATTTATGTTAAAATTTAATGAGAAATTAATGAGAAAGAAAATCATATACAAATATATAGAATTTTAATACGTTTTTTCAATAAAGCTGTATTTTACTATGAGTATTTCATATATGTTATAAACTTATATCTTCATCTTCTTCTGATGGACAATTTATGTTGGAACAATTTTGGACTTTGTTTGACTATTTAAATTTGAACACTTTTTGGACTGTTATGTTTGAACATTTGTTTCATTTCCTGTTTTATTTTTTATTACTTCCCTTGTGTGTCTTGTGGTTACTTTACTTCCTGTCTTTGTCCTGTTTCCCTCCTTGTTGATTGCCTGCCCCACCCTAATGTGTTTCACCTGTGTTCTATTACCCTTGCCTCCCTCCCGCCACTGGCAGCCCAGCTGACCTGGTTCCCAGTCAGCAGCCTGGCCGGCACCTGCTCCTTGTGTCCTGTAGGCGATCCGGCCAACTCCTGTTCCTGTTCCCCAGTCTGTGGTTCGGCTAACTTCTGCTCCTGGTTCCCAGTTTGCAGCCTGGCTAACCGCTGCTCCTCATGTATCGTCGGTGGTCCAGCTGACTCCTGCTCCTTGTTTCCAGTTGGTGACTCGACCAACCGCAGTTCCTGGTCCCCAATCGATGGTGTGGCCGACTCCAACCCCTCGTTTCCAGTTGGTGGCCTAGCTGACTTCAGTTCCTGATCTCGAGTCGCTGGTCTGGCCACCGCCAGTTCTTGATACACAGTCGGTGGTCTGGCTAGCTCCAGCCCCTAGTCTCCAGTCTGCAGTCTGGCCAACACCAGCTCCTCAAGTTTTGTCTGCAGTCCAGCTGACCTCAGCTCCTTGAGTCTTGTCAGCAGTCTGGTCAACATCACTTCCTGGTTTCCAGTCGTCATTCTGGCCACCTCCTGGTCCTGATCCCCTGTTGGTGGTCTGGTCAACATCAGCTCTTGGTTTCTATCACCTGTCAGGCCACCCTTTGTTCCTGATCTCCTGCTGGTGGTCCGGATGTCCGCAGCACCTGATCCCCAGCTGGTGGCCTGGCCTACATCAAATCCTGGTTTCCAGTCAGCAGTTCAGCTGCCTACTGCTCCTGATCTCTTGTTGGTGGCCTGGCTGTCTCCTCCTCCTGATCCCCAGTCACTAGTCTGGCCAACTCCTGCTCGCCCACCAGAGGGGCTCTGCCAGCCTCCTGCTCGCCCACCAGAATTGCTCTGCCGGTGGTTCTGCCCTCCAGCGCAGCCACCTGAGGGGACCCACCTTCACCGCCCTCCTGCTTGGCCTCCCAAGGGGACCCACCTTCACCGCCCTGTGGTTCAGCCACTCGAGGGGACCCACCTTCATTGCTGCCCTCCTGCTCACCTTCCTGAGGGGACCTTACGGAGAATCTCGGTTTTGGCTCCAGCTCGATCTTGGGGTGAAGGCAGGACCTTGGAGAGGTCCCCCAATCTATTCTGCCTCTTGGCCGTCCCTCCAAGGTGTCCTGCCTGTCTGTCCAGCCCTCAGGCTACATCCTTGTGAACCCCAGTTCCTTTTCTAGCCTCGTCGTCCCTTCCCTGTCCATTTCTCCGTGAAGAAGTTGGTCCTGTTTTTTCCTGTTTGCTGTGGACTTCCCGGATGTTCTCAGTTATGATTTTTGCAGTGTTTCCCGTATTTAGATTTTCTTTTATGCTTCGGTTTGAATATCCTCCTCTTTGTGGTTCGGTTTTGGGACTTTGGTTTCCCGGCCTGGGATAAAAATATCAATGAACACAGAGAATAGTAAGGTGTTGGATGTAATAGTATAGTAAGGCATAAAAACGTTTAAAAACATTATAATATAATAAGGCATAAAATCTCATAGTATAGTAAGGCATAAAATGTAATGAAAACGTCATAGTATAGTAAGGCATAAAAATGTCATAGTAAAGTAAATAATTTAGTAAGTCATATTATATAAGGTACAAAAAAGTCATAGTATATTAAGGTATAAAAACGTCACACAATAGTAAGGTGTAAAAAATTCATAAGTCATAAGATATCACAGTAAGGCATTAGAGTTAACAATAAACCTAATGGGCCGGTCTTTGGACTGCAAGAGGAAGACAAAACTAACCCACGCAGACACAGGGAGAACATGAAAAACTCCATACCAAAATGCCCCATTCCTGGAGATCAAACCCACAACCTTCTGATTGCCAAGTCACAGTTCTAACCACAACACCACCATGGTGAGTGATGCAAGTTTTTAGCTACTAAAGGCATAAAAACATCATAGTATAGACAGGTATAAAAGCGTGATAGTACAATGAGGCATGAAAAAGTAAAAAAATGCAGAGAATAGTAAGGCATAAGACGTCATAGTATAGTAAGGAATAAAAACGTAAAAAACATCATAGTATAATAAGGTATAAAAACGTGATAGGGTAGGAAGGCGTAAAATCATCAATAAAAGGAGTTATATGATAGTGCATAAAATGTCATAATATAGTAAGGCTTAAAAACATCAAAAAACATCATAGTATAATAAGGGATAAAAAGTCATAGCATAATAAAGCATAAAAATGTCAAAAAACATCCTAGTATGTTAAGGCCTAAAAATGTCAAAAAAACCTCATGGTATAATAAGGCATAAAAAATTTCTTAGTAAAGTAAATAATTTATTTAGTCATATTATATAAGGTACAAAAAGTTATAGTATCTTAAGGCATGAAAAAGTCATACAATAGTAAGGTGTAAAAAACTCATAAGGAATAAGATGTCACAGTATAGTAAGGCATTAGAGTCAACAATAAACCTAATGGGCCGGTCTTTGGACTGCAAGAGGAAGACAAAGTAGTCCAAACTAACCCACGCAGTCACAGGGAGAACATGCAAACTCCACACAAAAATGCCCCATGCTTTGGGATCAAACCCAAAACCTTCTGATTGCAAAGTCACGGTTCTAAACACTATACCCCCATGGTGAGTGGTGAAAGACTTTACCTATAGTAAGGCATAAAAATGTCATAATATAGCAAAGCTTAAAAGCGTGTTAGTAAAATGAGGCATGAAAAAGTCAAAGAGCGCAGAGAATAGTAAGGTATAAGACGTCATTGTATAGTAAGGTATCAAAACGTCAGAAAATGTCATTGTATAATAAGGTATAAAAACATGATTGTATAGTAAGGCGTAATTTTATTAAACCATGTATTGGGTTAAATCATTCTGCTAATGAAACATACTGTATTGCACACAACAGAAGCCAGAAGCTGAAAACTAGTGTAATTTGCACTGAATTGATGGTAAAATCCCCCTTTTTCCTGTGTCCCTCTTTGATCTATAGGTGCATGTATGGGTTCAGGCTTCATCCTATGCTGTGTGAACTGTTGTATGTTGAGTCTGTAACCAAATCAATGAGATACATGTAAGCCAAAGGGAATCAGCTTTGGAATGCCACTGTAAATGTGTTGTATTAAAACACAGCCATAATGTTTCATCGCCATCTCAGCAGGACTGATCTTCTTACCTCACTCTCTGCTAATCAGGAACAAATCTTTGTGCCTTAATCTACGGCCCCCTGCATCCCTCCGCCCATCTCATTAGATTAACAAAATGACATGCACATATGAACATACACACACACACACACACACAAAGACAGCTCATGACCTCAATCTCACTCCCCTGGAAAGGTAGTTAATTGCAATTCTGTGTAATTTTGTTGAATATAATTGATGTTATTTACACTATTTTAACAGTTTTTGCATGTGCATGACAGGAAAAGCGTTATCACATTTTCCTAATTTTGTTACACACGTAATGTGTGTGTGTCTGCAAGAGCCTTGAGAGTTGTATGTGTGTGAACTATACACTCTTGTACTCATGTGTGCATGTGTGTGTGTATGTGTGTGTGTGTGAGTGTGTGTGTGTGTGTGTGTGTGTGTGTGTGTGTGTACCGCAAACATATGCAACCAAATTAAAGCCTTAAATCTGGTGAATTGAAGAGGATTTGATGCAGAGAGCAATTCATGGGAATTAAGCAAATTAGGTCTCCAATTAGCTGCTGACATTGAATAGGAAGATTTGGTGAACAAAAATTAATTAGATGGATTTGTCATTGTTCTAATGAACATCACCAAAAAATAACTGTTTTGAACAACACCCTATCTTTCTCTCTCTCTGTCTCTTAAGCTTTATCCCTCTGACATATCGTTTGTCTATTCAGAATCTAATTTCATGTCAAATATTGCCTTATTCAAATATTCAATAATTTGCAAATAAGAAGCCCACATGAGCTGAGACAAACAAAGTTCAGAAAAGTCAATGTATGACCTAATCCTCTTTGGCTGGAGCACTGGGGATGTAAATGCCAACCTTTGCAAGTCAGACAGAATTTTCACTATTGATATAAAGCCGGACAGGTACAAAATTGACTTGATACTTATTATGGCAATAGTTTGGAGTCATCTTATAACAGAAGTGATCCTGTTGTAGAGACAGTTTCAGTTATTGCCTTTACGGTGTCTATTTATGATGATGATTTATGACGTCCATCAAAAAATATATAACAATAATGTAATTTTGACAATAACTGCACATTCAGCATGAACTTAAATATGTCTTTATTCCTTTTGCCATACATTTCTGCCCCTAAAAAGCCCTCCCCCATTTCTCCTATAAATCAGCGTCCCCTCACCTCTCTCTCTCTCCCTCTGGCTCCTTCCCTTTCCTCTGCTTCCTTCGCCCCCGACCTCCTGTGGTCCCCCTCTTTCTGCAGCAGCGGTTACAGATTACACTGTGTGATAAGCTTCCTATTTCTTGAAACTATTTGGGATTGCTCAGATTATCTGGCCTCATATCCTTGGGAGTCGGCTTTGGGAAGCCTGATTTTAGTCTCTTAAGGCAGAAGATTTTGCATCCCGACAGCTTTGACTAATTAGCATCTAATACCAAGTGGTATTTTAGCATTGGGCTCACTTTTAATTCTATCTGCACGCACAGGCAAGTGCGCACACACTCACACACACACACACACACACACACACACACACACACACACACACACACACACACACACACACACACCTGAGGCATCTGATGAAAAAACATCAGTTGAATTCAATATGATTTAATGAGATTATAACAAAACATTGTATTGGTATTTCTGGTGTTCTAAAAACATTCAGAATACAAATTTACAAATTAAAGATGTGCAGTGTCATTAAAAGATTCATACATTTTATTCAGTCATTGAATGTACTAAAATTACTTTGACCTTATTTACAAAGGTGAATATAATGTAATAAAGTCCAACTTCATATCAATTTTAACATCACCTAATGACATCATCATAAGCAAAAGGGTTCTAAAATGTCTCTTTTATCCAATCGTAATTCAGGCCCAAACTGTAAGTACAGAATACCTCATAAATATAAACTGTTCATTCTCAGGGTACAGAGGCATGCAGGCCTGGGTGGAATCCCACTTGTGGCTGCACACGGGACCAAGGCCAGTAGAGTCTAGGTGCCACGCAGGACAGAGGGAGCACTGGGGCCTGAGGACAGCACCAACAGGTGGTTCTGTGGGGGCGGGCGAGGGCAGGGTGGTATGGGGAGCTCAGAGAGGAAAGGGGGAGCTGTCCTGCCACCCTACGAACCCTCCGCCGCGCTCTTCGGCAGTGATAGTCCCCGTTAGAAAAGTCCTGATAGTTTGATGGGTGAATCGCCCAGAAGTGGCCTTTACCGTTGTCACTGCGGCCTGCTTTGATGAAGCAATCATTCAGAGACAAGTTGTGACGCACACTGTTCCTCCAGTTTTTATCCTGTTGGAGCAAGAAAATAAATGTTGTTAGGCCAAGAACAAAACCTGAAAGCAGGTAAGAGTTAAATGGAACCATTCGAAAATTAACATAGGTGGCTGCTAAGTATCACTGATCCTACTCAAGATGTCACCTCGTCCTGTTGTTGGCAGGATGCGCGATAGCGTGTCAAGACCGTATATGATCACAGTAAGACACAACACCCTTAGTTACCTTTTTAGCACGTCAAACCAGTGATCAACTTTAATCCACTAGGCTACGTCCAATCTGTTGTTGCACCTGGTAAAGGCAGAGGCAGTTTGCAACCTAGCAACAGGATTACTTTATTTGTGAATTCGCCAACAAGAAGATCATCTAGTTTCCCTGTGAGCACCTAATTGCCTAACCACTCAGACAGATTACCTGTGCCAAGTAGGTCACTTCATTTGTGAAAATGGCGGTCACATTATTTTTCAGCAACTGAATTAAACACGATGACAATGAACACTTTGGGTAAACACGAGTTCTCCTTATTTGTTCCATGAATGTCTTACCAGTAGCTGTCTTACCAGTAGCTATGATGAGTTAACAGAGAGAATGATTAATTTCAAAATACTCCCGCAGACAGTAATAACCTGGGTCATCGTGCATACTTCACATAATCACAACCAATTTGACATTCTAAATTCCTCTTTTACTACAATAGCTGACAGTGCCATGTCAGTTGATCTCTGCATGCCATGTAAATAGAAAGACACAATAACAGAGACGTGAACATACCTTACTCTTGAAGTAAGGGTAGTGGTCCATGATCCACTGGTAGATGTCACATAGCAGCAGTTTCTTCTGCTCGGATGCAAGGATTGCCTTGGAGATGAGTGCAATGTACGACTGGTTGGGTTTGTCCGACTTGTCAGACTTCTCCGGATCGCTGCTGACAGAAATGGTGGTGGTCACTTCCTCCTCCCCCTCCTCTTGTTGGTCTTCACCCCCCTCCTCTTCTTTGACTTTCCTTTCTTCAATGTCTACCCCTGACCTCTGTAGCTGCGTCTCCTTCATCTCAGAGCGAATCCCCACCTCTTCGGGTTTAGGATTCTGATGATTTAGCATGTTGTTCGCTGTCTGCTCTGCCGTACGACTTCCTGTCGCTTCTTCTTTAGAACCTTTGACTCCTTTATTGAACAGAAGGTAGTCAATAGTGAAGCTCAGTCCCAGCCGTTCTCTGACGCCAGTGTGGCTGCTTCTGTCTTCCATTGTCATTTCTGAATTAAGATATCTCAGACTCATTACAGAGATTTTATTGGTTCCAAACTGACTGACTGTTGAATAAGGCAATAAATGGAAAGCGTTTCTCCCAAAAGTCTTCTCAGAACTGTGTGCCTGAGTTTTCACAGCATGGCTATTTTCTTTTAAAATTAAGACCCTTCATAAACTGAATGCCTCAATGCCCCTCGCTTGTTTCGCCGAAGTCTTACTGTTGACAAGATCACAGATAAAGATGAGCCTCTCAACTGTTGTTAACCCTGATGCGCTCATGAGCGACACAACCTCAACTGTGGAAATGACGTCAGTCTTTAAGACTAAATACGGCCACTTTGTTTGCCAACAAAGTTTAATTAAACGTTTTCGCCTCTCTGATAAATCTGACCTGATCAAAACCTCCTTCTGATCCAACTGCCTATTGCTCCTGTATCAAAGAACTGTGCTTCACAGTTGTGAAGGTGTCTCTATTTATATGACTGTGAATTTATCCCTCACAGAAAGGGGCAAAGAACGCACAGGGGAGGTCCAGGTAGGGGGTCTCAATTGAGGCGGATTATTTTTATTAACCTAAGCAAATCTTTGTAATTACGGGAGATTAAACACTCAAGATTTAGTAAGACATGGTGTGTAGAGGTAGGATGCTGTAGAATCAAAGGCCTTTTAGATGCCAGTTTTATCCTGTTAAAGTTGTTTTGTCAATGGGGATGCTGTACAAAGAATTACTTAAATTACCACAGAGCAGTAATTAATGACTCAAATTCAATGTAATGGAGAAAAAAAAACAGACTCACATTGAGTCAAACAGTAAAGTATTTGACAAATAAATCTAATGAACTAATTTTGTGTTGTTGACATGAAGAGTTTTGTGCAGTGCAGTACACAAATATAACTAATTTTTCTGCTTGTGAATGAATTCGCCAAATATAATCTTAGATATTTTTAAATAATCTTCTCAAAGACTATAGCCAAATTGCTTCTGCGCTACATTGTATTGTAGTATATTGTAATCTTTAATAGTGCAAGAAGTTTTTAAAGAATAATTTTGGTTTAATTTCATGTACATTTCCCTTAATTTGAAGAAAAATTATTGAGTAGTACTTCATAATGATGTGTTTATTTATGTTTTGATAATGAGGGATTTTTATGGTTTATGCTGACATACAGTGTATTTGTTTTTTGTTTTTTGTTTACGTCATGATATTCAGGTCAAACATCTACACATCAGGCATTTGAATAAATTGACATTCTCTTTACACTCATTTAATAGAATTTAAATTTGGATAATTGAAATAATTACAATTAAAATTTTTATACAATTAAGAAAAGCCAAGTGTGATTAAATTTTTTTGACCAATGACAAAGCTTATAAAGCATCTAATCCATCTTAAAACATAATGCTATTTAAACACTTGAATCCCCATATACTTTAATTGTCCCATAAGTAAGATCAAAGTCATGTAAAACATTTTCAAAAAATGTTAATGCCACATTGTTCACACATTCTGTATCTTCTTCTTCTTCTTCTTCTTCTTCTTCTTCTTCTTCTTCTTCTTCTTCTTCTTCTTCTTCTTCTTCTAGCGATTCAGACAAGCAGTATCATACTGACATTATTGACATCAAATAGAAAATTGCTGATGCCCCATATTTTCATGTTTTATAAACTTAAAGTCTCTGGGATCTGAAACAAATAAAAGTCTAGTTCATACTGACAGATGTAACATGAACTGTGGAATTGTAGGAATTTAATAACTTGCACAATAGATATATTTATTAGCCCACGCCATCTCCACAGCAGTCATTGTGTTAATCTAGGTAACAGTAATAGTACAGTATCTAGATGGATCTGCTTCGTTCTCTTAGTTTTACAGAGGGCATGAATTAACAGTCAGGTCAAATCATGGACCATATTGCCCTCTTCTGTTTAAATAATGGAACATGAAATACATGCACAACACAGAGCATTATGCTGCCTTTACATTATCAAGCTTTTGAATTTTACTCAGCTATATTGATTAATTTATATGTAGACTTGTAGTCTACATATTAGACTACCAATATTAGGTTAATAAATATGAACCAATATTAGAATTGTAAAAAATAGTAGCCTGTATTGTGTAGAACATACCATGAATTAATTTGGGTCTACATTTGTGAATTAAATTTAGACAGGTGTATCATAATAACTGAATCCTATATTTCCTACAAATTCACAAAGTGTAATTATAGATAGCATATTCCATCAACCAGCTTGGTGACAAAGCCAGCTGTCCTTTTGAATGTATAGTGTTGTTTTATTGATGTTTCGCATCCCAAGTAAAGCCAAAAAACAAAACACCATGTTATTACATGATACTGCAATTCCTTTAATTGATTTTTGTGTTTCCATGATGCTATTCTTTGCCACATATGAAGAGCTTTAGGAAAACCTGGGCCGGATCACCAGATGGTGCGTAAAGGTGTCCCATATATACTTAATTCCATTTTGCAAAAAGCGTGACACGACATGGCATTTGTGTTTTAGTCATGATATGGCTGGTCTATGCTTTGACGTGTGGGTGCATTTTGTTAATTACTCATTTTGATTCAATAAAGAACATACTTTAGACAAAGCATTAACTCCACATCTCACGGCAGGAGGCAGAACCTGAAACGGAATAGTTTGCTCGGAGGGGACTTGAGGGGACCATGCGACCGAATCCACTTGACGCCCCATGCTTTACACCCATGTTGAATTTAAACTGTTTTTTAGACGCTCGACCACAGTACCTCAATACTATAAAACCGAAACATCATGGATATCTAAACACTTTGACACGTGGTATCATCAATAGACACTGAGGCCTAATTTTGAAAATGAGACCTGTCTCTTAGTGTTTTTAAAAAGTTGTACTGTAACTTTAAAAAACGACGATCCCGCCCATTTTGTATGCAGCGCTGCAGGCCCTGGTTAAATCCGCGCTGTGATTGACTGAGGTCACCCGTCCATCAAAGCAGGCTCTATGTTTCATTGGTGTAAGAGTAGCCGTCGTCGTTGACTCTCGCGGTACTGCTGCACGAAGATGGCGGCCGAACTGGTGGAAGCGATGGCAAGTAGAGCTTGGCTAGCTTTGGTTTGATGGGAGATGAGCACGGGAGTGTGAGCTGAAGCTCTCCCTGGCCGTGGGGAAACTGGGGGCTTTGCATGAATATGATTAAGAGGCTGTACTCTTAGAAATGTGGCGTATTACATTCACGACGAAACGAACTAGCCTGCGCTGCTAACGTAACTAGCCTGCTAGGTAGTGTTAACCAGGCAAGTGCGTTGGTTCAGCTAGCATCACGCTGGCTCTGAAGGAAGAAATGAAAATGAATGATGAGACCATACAAACATTTGGGGGTTTGCTGCTAGCATGCTACCCGCCGTGTTCATATATGACGTTATTTCTCTTACAGTAAAGTCTCTCTGTAGTTACCATTTAGTTTATGGAGCTGTGCACCTGTCAAAATGTTCAGTTGCCATTATTGAATACCGACAGCACAGTCTGTAGACAAGCTAGCCAGCCGATAGCGTAGGCTATACTGGTGATGTTAAAGTGAGGCTGAAGAAACTGCAACGTTACTGCCTTTATGGCTGCAATATTTGCTCAGTTCATCAATCAAAAGCTCAATGGACAGTCGCCTCATTGTGCAAATTTAATGTGGGCTCAAAACTGGCTGATAAAGCATGTCAGACAGGTCGGGTTTTTCCATTCACAACAACAACATTCCGTGTGTTGCCGAGTAATGTTCGCATTGCTGCTGCCGGTTAAATAAACATCCTCAGGCAGATTGTATACTTTGTCATGAGTGCCCTGTCCTGAAATAAGCGATTTCACGTATTGAGTAAGTACTCTATACAAGGTTAATGTGGCTGACCGAAATCTGGAACCGGTATAGTCAGTGAATTAGACTTTGGTAATATTAAACTTTGTATTGCGTTGCACTGACTACACTTAGAGCCAGTGCATTCAATGAGTAAACGTGTGCTTGTTATGGTTTGTCTTCCACTGAAAAGTTTGGTTGTCATTGCTGGACACACTTTATCCACAAGCCACCAATGCAGTTTAACAGTCAATCCTCGACGATTAATTGATTGATTGATTGATTGATTGATTGATTGATTGATTGATTGATTGATTGATTGCCGACTACTAGTAATGAAGTATACTGTAATTAAGGTGAACCAGTTTTAAATTTGAGGTGTGTTCTAGCTCGTGGAGCTGTAAACAGATTTTGGTATACATGTAAACATTGTTAAAAGAAAACTATACCCATCTTTTGTCAAATAAAGATTCAAACTATAGTTATTACCACATATTTTTAAATTGTGCTTTAACATGTAGCTTTTAATCCTTAAACTAAACAAGGTGCTCATGCCTTCTTTTTTTTTTTTTTTTTTTTTTTTCAAGCTTATGCTGTTGCCAGGTGTTGACAGTGTTTCACAGACATGTAGTGTGGATGTAATACAATGAAATATAGAGGTGAAGTCATACATTTTAACTGGTATTGCAGAGCCAGGGTTCAAAAGATTGTTTAATGGTACCGCAAATTTTTAAAGAATGGAATGATGAAAATGAAGCGCTCAAAATGAGGACTGATGTAACTTCTTACTATAGCAGGCTAATTACATGTCCGGTTCATGCCTCTGAAGGATTAAAGTGACCAAGTACATTAGCTAATTATAGCAGGAATCAAACAGTTTCACACACCTGCTATGTCATGTTAAATGGTGCATATAAGTTCATTAAATAATGATGTGGAGCCTGTCAAGGGCAAATTTAATAGTTGTGTTAGGGAAGAAATCTAATAATGCATTGAGTTATTAGATTTACTTTGAAGGATTTTTCAGACAGTATGTTTAGGAACTTGATAAATTCACTGGAGAAACTCACAGAATATAAACACAAATGTACTGGAATGCATTTTTGTGCTTGGGTCACACAGTTAGATATCTGTGCAAAAAGGAGAGCTGGCTTGGT